TAGAATAGAATAGAATAGAATAGAATAGAATAGAATAGAATAGAATAGAATAGAATAGAATAGAATAGAATAGAAACAGCCTTTATTGTCCCACGGATGGGAAATTCAAGTGTAACAGCAACAGATAAATTTGTGTTGTGTTTCCTTGACTGATGAAGCCTTCCGGATGGAAGGTGAAACATTTCAGTAAAAAAAAAAACTGTCCAGATGACCTGACTGAAAATTGTTGGATTGAACACTAACATTTTCAGCCGCTAGATGGCACTCAAGTAGTATGGCATGCCGTTGTGTCATGTAATAAGTAAAAGTGGCTATTAATGACACAATCGGCTTGCCACAGCCTGCCACCTTCATCCAGCTCCGGGATCATGCCTGGAGCAACCGTCAAATCAGCTTCATTTTGCTGCGCCGCCCCGGCCAAATGCAGCTAATTTGACCATTAAAGTGCATTTATTAAGTAAAGTTCAACTGAGACACACCCTTGCTATAATGTCGAACAAACAAATAATTGTTTTAGATGCTAATCTTGTTAAATTTCGAAGAAATGCACAGCGTTCCTCCTTCCTGATTTCCTCCCTCTACGTGCTCCCGCAGCACCGAGGCATCAAATACTTTTGAAATGCAGCTGATTTGACCATCAAAGTGCATTTATTAAGGAAAAGTTAAACTGAGAAACACCTTTGCTATAATTTCAAGCAAATAAATAATTGTTTTTAATGTTAATCTCGTTAAATTCTTGTTAAAGTCCTTCTGTGCACACTCCCTCATCTGCCATTTGGCAGCCAATCAATTTTGGCACAACACCGGCCCACATTTCTGTGTTATCAGCAGTGACACGTAACAAACGTGACGTGTCAGCAATGACACATAATGTATGCAATGTAAACAGCGAAGCGACGTATTTGTTTCTTCCACTTTATTAGACATATTTGGCCTGATGTGACTTATCGGGTGGTACGACGTGTACGGTGGAAAATACGGTATATGGATGCAGTGGTGTCATTTTTCCATTGGACTCTTTGCACCCTAATTCGACCTGACTCAGTTCTACATGGTCTTGGTAGTTTTCCATATGACAGTGGCACCTCCATGTGAGTGGTTTGCCTGAAACGTATCGCCAATGGGTAAATATGTGAAATTCAATAAAAAAACACTAGCCATCCTCTTTCATGGTTTCCAAAAAGGCTGTGGCAGAGTCAACACCAGTGGAAGATGACCATCAGAGAGAACATGGAGGTAGTTCTAGTGAGGACAGAGCGAGATGGGGGAGGATGGTTTGCTGTGATGGCAGGAGGGAACAGCTGAAAGAAGAAGGTCAGTGATAGAGCGATGAGGAAGTCCTATGGAAGTTGGATCCACATTCTGGATGCAGCGACCACTCTGTCTGCATTTGGACCTTGGGCATGTAGAAAAATATATTAGCTGACCTGATGGTCATCTCATTCTCACAGAAAGCTACCAGATCATCCAATAAGGTGGGGCAAGTCAATCAAATTATTTTAAACACATCTCATCTTCAAAAGGCGCGTAAAATAAGTGTTTTCCATCTCAGACGGTGTAATTAGACACCTCCTGATGATTCGTGCAGAGCTGTAGCCGTTGCAGCGAAGCAGGAATGTGCTGAGTCGGTGCAAACGCTCTGACTCAACATGGAAACAAATGAGCCAGTGCAGCCGAGTCGACAAGAAGGAAGAAAGACAGCTGAATCTTCCAGAGATATGCAGCTACCCCCCCACCCAAGTGCGATATTTGACTCCCTCCTCCTCTGCCTTCAAAAAGCTCTCTCTATTTCTGCCTTTCACGAGTCCGGAGAGTTTTCCTGGATGATGTACTGAAGCGTATTGGTCCCCGGAGAGCCAAGCAGCCTTGGTTTCTCCTGGACGGCGTTTTAGTGGGCTTCATAAACAATCCGGGCCTCGTCACAGATACCAATGCCTTCTGGCCCAAATGCAGTCTATATTTGCATCTGACGAGCTGCAAAGAAAAAAAGAAAATTCTTTTCATATCTACCATTTATCATCCCCAGGTCCCTTTACTGCCCATTTCCCATGTCACATGCTATTACATTTAATTTAACAGGCTCTGCTTTCAGTGGAGAAACACAATAAAAGCCTAAATTAATCAAAAGGGCTTTTTTTGAAAAGCAAACTGATATAAATTACAGATGGTTGTGGTTTCTGGAGGTAATAAAAACCAGACTTTGTGTAAGATTATGTAAACAAGGCAGGCTTTGATATAGTGCGGCTGTTAAATGTGCTGCGATGACGGCGAGCCCCAAACATTCAACACTTCTTTGGATTCCCCTCGGTGGGGCCTCTAAAACATCAGCTCTGACCTTAGCTTTAAAAGCCCGCTCCACGGCTCACGTTCTTCTTGTGGTGCAGTAACATCGCCACGATGTGTGAGCCGCGTTGGACTGATCTGTCGTTTCATAGTTGCTGTGCCCTGAGCTCAGCGTGGTACGAGCCTTCGGCTGAGGGAGCAGCTCAGGAAAACGTTTCCCTGATCATTTATTAAAGGGATCTCCAACTACTTCCACATATTGGCCTTAATATGTTATTTCTCTAGTAGATTAAAAGTTGTTGTTTGTGACACCTGAAAACTCCTAATTACTTAAAAAATGACATATGCTTATTACATTTTTCACCTAACGACGTTGCCATTATTTAACAAACGCAATGCATTCTGGGGCAATGATGTTCATCGGCTGTACTGAAGACTTAACACAAGGAGTCAAAGCTTAAAAAGTTATAACTTGAGAGAAAATTATAGTTCGTATTAGTACAAAATATCGGTCAAAATGATCAAACAATTGATTTGTGATGTCTATTAGCTCTGGAGCTAACACGTAATACATTAAAACTCCAGACCTTTAATTATACTTATAAGTTCTGGAGCTTATGCTTATATTATGTCTGCAGCTAATGCTATTGGCACTGGAGCTAATG